TATTNTTANATATATATTAATATATATATATATATATATATATATATATATATATGTATATATATTGATGTATATATTATATATATATATTAATGTATAAATATATATATATATATATTATAAGGACTGCTTTGCATCACATACCAGCACCAGTTACTAGCCTAGTATCGGCACCCGCCCACGCAGACTTAATATTGTACCCGGGTGCATAGATATCAATGCCTTGGCCGAAATTGGACTGTGAAGCTAGGTCGTCATCTTCGTTTATCCCACCCACCGTCAATGCTACTTCGCTACGGCCGGGCGTATATCTGTTTGGAGATGCAATATTTTACACGTGTGAAACATATTGTCAGTACAGAGTCAATTATCATATACAATCTTCGCGTATGAGGATACAAGTATTTAGGAGCGAGGAAACCGAGGGTACGTACGCATGCACAGTAGATTGAAGGCAACAAATTGCAAGACTGTATTTGACGATGAAAAACATGAACATAACTTGATTGCATATATTCGCACTATTACATCGTGGCACACATACACGTGTTCTTAAACAAGAATGCAATGGCTGCGAAGACACATCAAGCACAAACGGAAGGGGTGATACAAACCTCTGGCGTTTTACAATACAGTTTTACAATTACGTATCATGTTACTATACACATATTTTTACAAGAGATATACTTGAACAGCAATGAAAGGACGAGACTTTAGCACGTGTCGTCATTTGAGCATCTACACACCGTCAACTACAGGTTCTAGCACGTTAAGTATCTACACACAGACAGTCCAACAACGTGTTATCCTACACATGTATAGTATATATGACGTACTTCCAGGCTTCGTCGGCATTGTTGCCTGTGGCCACCAGGCTCAGTATATTGGCTTCGTACAGATCCTGAATGGCTCTCTCCGTAGCCGTCTGGTGTGTGAATGGGAATGCAAGATATACAAAAACAGGGACTGTCAGATGATATGGGGGAATATATATATATATATATATATGTTTGTTTGCTTTGATGTGTAGCAAGAAAACAACACTCGCGGGTCGCGTTCATACACTTGTACGTTCCCATACGCAAGTACCAAACAACAGCACACAATAATACCAAGATGCAAGAACTATCACATAACTATCAGATAAAACTTAGGAACACGAGATAAAACGTAGGAAGCATCTGCATTGTCTTATAATAATAAAAAACACTCGTCACTCGCGTTCATACACTTGCACGTACCCATACGCCTGTACCAAATAACAACAACAACACCGCACACACTCAGACCTACCGGCGGGTAGTCTGCAGGCAAAGGCCCGGCAGCCAGAGATAAAGAGACCAGACAATTACGTCCGTCACAGTCTTCCATTACAAACTCCAGCCCAGCGATCACATTACTCCAGTCCCCGTTGCCTTCATCATCCATCACCTTGACTGAAACGAGGGTGGCCAGCGGCGCAACACCGTACGCATACCCCCCCACAACGCCTGTGTGATTGGATAGGGTGTACGCGTTTATATGCGTGAGGAAGTGTAGGTAGATCTACTGGGGCCCAGGTGTGTACACATACCGTTTTAGTATCAAGGACGAGAGGAATATGTACCGATTGCCCCTATCAACCATGTGTTTGGTATACATACAAAGCCAGAGCGCTTGAATATATCCTCCAGCGAGGTACTGTAAGCTTCGCAGCGGATTGGCAAATACTATAAATAGATATATAGACACCAGACGTGACATTTATACTTTACTTGTACACAATTATTTAGAGCGACAAAAGAAGTTTTCTGTACATGTACAAGCGCGACCTGAACATAGCTACATACTTGCCACCTGCGTTCCATGGCCATAGTTGTCAAAACCGTCACCCCCAAATGTGTCAAATCCGTATTCGGCATTCACCGCTTTCCTCCCTGGCTTCACACTGAACTCATCGTGCGTATACCTGAAACAGACGATTGCGTTTATAACCACGTTATCAGGCATGTATGGAAAGGTATGTTAACGCTTTTATTGGATCTGTATAGTCCATCCTACACTAATAAAACCCATAGCCATACCCCTCTGGATGTCTAATTATTTTATATATCAAAGGGCCTGGCCGCACAAGAGTACGTGTCTCATGCACGCACAACAGTCGTCTGAGTATAGAGCCACCCACACCAAGACCAGCGCAAACAGAAAATGCACAGATACTACGCTTGAATGTACATGTGTGTATATACTACGTTTGAATGTACATGTGTGTATATACAACGTTTGAATGCACATGTGTGTATATACTACGTTTGAATGTACATGTGTGTATATACTACGTTTGAATGTACATATACTACGTTTAAAAGTACATGTGTGTATACGTCTGTACAATACCTGATGCCCGTATCGCACACGTAGACCCTTACGCCGTCACCCACTCCATTTACAGCCAGCACGTCCTTTGTACCAGGGTCTGTATTTTTATTCACTTCTTCAGCCTGATCAATACGATCCAGGCCCCACTTTGCCCATTCGGAGGCATCTCTCACTGCCAGTCAAAGTGTGTACGGCGACAACTGAGTACTGCGCCGAGCGGTGTGTGTATGTGTATGTGCATGTGTATTTTAAATGAATGGATGTGCAAGAGCGACTATTGTGTGACAGTGAATTATAAATCTGATGGATGGGTACAATGTCAATATATAACGATTTTTCTTGACGTGTTCTATTTGGGGACCTGTGTATAAACTACGCTTGTGTATATGGAAATCACTACCAACCTTTAGGGTATGTACGAATATGCTAGATGCGCTGCAGAGCATAAGCAGGAATGGCTTTCAATGATATATGAGAAATTGACACGAAGTAAATAACAGCCGAAACCAAGAACGTGTACGTGTACGTAGAAGCATGTATCCAGAAATACAATTAAGCAAATACCAAAAACGATTAGATCGAACATATCTATATCAATATCTATATCAATATATCTAAATCTAATATATATATATTTATATATATATATATATATATATATATATATATTTATATAATTGACTAAGAAGTATAAATGTAGTCTCACCAATGGGCCTCGATGACTGCAATTCAGCAGGCCAGTCCCTCTCACACATTTCTACATCACCGTCCGTCAGCATGTAATCACAGATTGCATCCACAACGTCAAAATGTTTCTCATCCACTCGCAGCATGAAGAACCCCAACCGAGGCATAGTGTGGGACACAGTCACCACCATCTCTGGATTTGATCGCCCGGAAATATTTCCTAGATATAATTCATAGTCGGGGCACACAGTCAGAATATATTAGTGATAGATGGTTTATATTCAACAACAAGTGCATTTTTATTTATTTAACATGAAGCAACAGATACTTGAGATATCCTCACAAAAGGAGGTCAGTACAATCCAAAGCTCTGCTGATGATGATGCATGGGGTTGGTATACGCAAGAAATCCGATTTTCAGGGGTCACGGTTAATGATAGTACCTGCAATGGAACTGTCTACCAGACCAAATGATTGAGTCCTTCGACAGGAACAAAACAGCACATGCATGCACAACCACTCTTTCTTTTGCTGGACAAATAACACCCTCACTGGATAGATGAGACACTAATACAATTGGATGTCAGTGCGGAGCACTGGTATATACAACAAGTATACTCCTGCGATGATATAAAGATAATACTCGTACCTTCTGTAAGTAGTTTCAGCAGTACTTCATATTTAACACGTTCCGCTATCGTATCAATTCGTTGCTGTGGGGTTTCGAGGCTCCGCGCGAGTTGCTTCGCAGTCTGACAGCACCGAATGGTGTGTAATCGCACATATGAGAACGAATATGAACTGCATTCTTGTATGTAGGAAAAACTCGCATATTTCGATAAGAAATGAAGACAA